ATCGCTCAATCACATCAAATAAAAGGTTTGATGGACGATTAAAAGAGTTCGAAAATGGCTGACATATGATTTTTTTCTCGTATAAGCTACAACATTAGCAATCAAGTAAACAATAATAAATTATTTATGAAGTAAGAACAAATGAATTAAACCATGCGTTTTTTAAACTGGTTTGAATGAAGCCACCGATACATAACAGTGTGAGTCTATATTATGACACTGGCTAAATACATGTAACCAAATACCGACAGCAAACTCGTTAATGAAAAAATTATAAAAACGTATAATAAAAAATGTTTATCCTAGGTTATGCATACCTTCCATATATTTTTGTGATTAAGACAATGTGGCCGTAGATTAAAAAACAAAAACCATCATCATCAACTCTAGCTAGCTCATGAAATAAGAAGACAAATATACAGTTCAAAGCTAAACCATCAATGTATGTAGCATATATACGTAAACATATACTCGCAGACTTTTAAAAATGTAGGCTTACTACATCAAGAGTAAAATAACTTACCATGAGGAAAGGAGAAGTAGAGGGTTGTTATGCAGAATTGCTCGACATCAATTATCGTGTGGCTGCACTGCATATAAAAAGCCGAGACCCCTGTTTGCAAAAAGATAATTTAGAATCTAACTGTATTTTCGTAATATGAATGGTAGATTTATTCAAAAAAAAAAAAAAACTATTTTACAATACATGTGGCTGTTTGCTTAAATCTTTGAAACAAAAAGAGAAACAGAATGTTCACATGAAAAGAGTCTTTGAATCGCTAAGAAACTGCAGTTAAGCGTTGCAGGCAGAGTCTTCACAAAATCTAACTTTTCTATAAACATAGCGCTTAAACCTTGGATTGGTCCGGAGAAAATTTGAATAACCCATATCTTAACCGTAGTAAAATCTATGGCGCATGAAAATCACCACGGTTCCGCTTGGTTCTCTGTTGTTTTTTTTTTACCTTCGTCTATTTTGGCCTCAGTGATTTTCCATCCGTTCATTGATGTTTCAACCTTGTGACGTGTGATTATTCTCTGAGTAGGAATCATTTGGGTGGAAGCGCCTCTCGAGTAATTAGGACTGCACGTGAGAACATATTGAATCTATGTTTTCTTTGTGAAGGTGAAAAGGGAAGGGGAACCGAGTATGTCTATAGGGTTAGAGGAAAGATTCGTGGTTACAGGTTGGGGTAAGAAGGGACAAGAAACGATTCGGCGTTGGTCGATCAGAAACGTGTTGGTTTAATGGTATGGTTCAATTTTTAGGTTTGAATATCTCAACGTGTGGAGAAAAAGATTTGGAGGCAATTTTGAGATTCTCTTGTTTCTGGCTTTAGATTGGAAGAGCACGGTTGGCTAGAGAGTGGCATGGAGGAGTGGGTTTTGGCCGTTAAAGCCATTGAATTGTGATGACGGGAAAGACAATTCATGACGGTGGTCGAAGAGGAATCGTAAGAGATTCTTGAGTTTTGCTAGGGTTCAACAGAGAAGGGAGATCGTGAGGTAAGAGAGAGGGCGTGAGTTATTTTAGTTAGTAGGATGTGGGCTTAGTTTAGGTTCCTGGGCCTTATGTTAATAATGATGGGCCAGGATTTTAGTATTATTAATTTCGTAACTTTGTCTAGAGGATAATGAGAATTAAGGAGAAATTACTGAAGTTTGTAAAACCCTAGTCGCGAAACAGCTAAAGAGTCTTTGAGTCTCGTCCCTTTCTCTTTTAATGGCTTTCTGGGGTGAGTTTGATGGTTTCTTTGTTATTGAAACCTTTAAGAGATCACCGATTTTATGCATAGATTTGTTTGTTTGCAGGAGTTGAAGTGAAGCCAGGGAAGCCTTTCACTCTCAAGGTTACTGAGCCAAGAGGAATGAAAAGACTCCATCTTTCCCAGGTCCTTCATCTATAATTTCTACCATAAACAACAGATTTTGTAATTGAGCCGCTTCATCTTCTTTCTTTCTTCTTTTTGGTATAGGCAACATTGGGGCTGGGTAATGCAACACTCAGATGTGTCTTGCAGTGTAACGTTGGAACCAAAATTCCAGTCTTTTTATGTGTTTTGAAGCCTGAGAAGGTTGATTCTTGTCAGCTGAACGTGGAGTTTGAAGAAGCCGATGATGTTATCTTCTCCGTAATCGGACCTCGGAGCATTCACCTCACTGGCTTCTTTCTCGGAAGGCCTAACAGTCTCAGGCTAAATAACGACGAATCGTATCCTCTAATCGATTTTACATTTGACTGCATTAGGACTGTTTGTATTCCTTGACTTAAATTAACAGCGAGTCTTATGGAGAAGACATTGTTGACTCAGATATGGAGAAAGCTAGCAGTGATGATTATGACTACAATGATAGTTTCATAAATGACAGTGATCCATCTCGCCGTGAAGACGATGTTGAAAGTATGCCATTTAGTTTGGTTCTCGTGTTTTCTACTGTGTCTTCTTATGTTCGAGTTATACTTTTTATGTTACGTTTGCTTTCTTGTTATAAACTTGGAATTATTAGTCATATCTTTAGACACATGCATAACATTTTCAGTTTCTATATGGGTCTTGTTCTGCAGCCTTTGTAATTTACCCGCAACTTTCGGTTAGTTTGATTCTCTGTACGTGAGGGGATTACTAGTGTTTCTTTCTGCTAAACTTGCTCCATTTCTTGATAGTCTTGCCTCCTGTTCCAGTGTCTATGAAGGAGTTGGCAGCTAAAAGAGGGGAC